GTTTGGTGTGGTGGTGAAGTGCGCAGACTCTAATCTGGGAGAACCGGGTTTGATTCCCCACTCCTCCTCCACTTGCACCTGGCTGGATGGCCTTGGGCAAGCCATAGTTCTGATAAGAGCTGTCCTTGAAAAAGAGCCGTTTCTGTCAAGAGCTCTCTCAGCCCCACCGACCTCACAGGGTGTCTGTTGTCTAATCTGGGAGAACCGGGTCTGATTCCCCACTCCTCCTCCACTTGCACCTGCTGGATGACCTTGGGCAAGCCACAGTTCTGACAAGAGCTGTCCTTGAAAAAGAGCCGTTTCTGTCAGAGCTCTCTCAGCCCTGCCTACCTCACAGGGCGTTTGTTGTGGGGAGGGGAAGGAAAATTGTCAGCCACTCTGAGACTCCCTTGGGTAGTGAAGGGTATAAATCCACTCTCTTCTCTCCTTCCTCTTGCCAGGTCTGGGTTGGAAAATACCTGGAGACCTTGGGCGGGGGGGAGATCTGGGAGAGGGCGGGGGAGGGGCCACAGAGCCCACCCTCCAAAGCAGCCCTTTTCTCCCAGGGAGCTGATCTCTGTCAGATGGAGATGAGTTGTAAAAGCACGAGATCTCCAGGCCCCACCTGGAGGCTGGCAACCCCCGGCAGGGTGTTGGGCTAGATGACCCTTGGGGGTCCCTTCCCAGCCAGCTCTGTTTCTCTTGGGGTGGAATGCCTTTGTGCCCCCTTAGCAGCGCGCAGTTGGCCACGGGGCAGAATGGGGGCTGCTCCCTCCCCGTCTCAGGGCCGCTTCAGGGGACGCGGAGCGGAGCAGCCGCTCAGGGGCCAGGCAACCCCTGGACTTTGGAGCCCGCTCTCTGCACCGTTCAGGGCTGGCCTCGCTCGCCGTCTTGTGCTTCACGAGGCCTTCCCTTTTAGTGGACTCCTGTCCTGTCTGGCATGTCAGGCACAATTTCATTAGTTGGCTGTGGCAATCATTTTGGGAGGGATCGGTGGCCGTCCACTTTAGCCCGCTTTTCTCAGCGCAAAAGCTTGGTGCCAGCTTGGTGTGGAGTGGTGATGGAGAGCGGCTGGACTCTCATCTGGAGGAACCGGGTTTGATTCCCCACTCCTCCTCCACGTGAAGCCAACTTGGGTGACCTTGGGTCAGACACAAGTGCTCTCTAGAGGTCTCTCAGCCTCACCGACCTCTCAGAGTGTCTTTTGGCGGGAGAGGAAGGGAAGGGAGATTGTAAGCCACGCTGAGACTCCTTTGGGTATTGAAAACTAACTCTTTTTCTTAATAAGCCATCTCAAAATGTGGTGCTTCCTAACCGCAGCAGACTGATAAACTTCCTAGGGGTGAGGTCACCGGTATTAACAAGAGTTCATGGCAAGCCAGAGCTCTCCAAAGACGGGCAGCTGATCCTACAGCATCTAGTGTGGCTGTGTAGAAATCAAGAGTGAAAGAAGAGACCGAGCTTCTCTTAAGTGTGAACATAGCTTCTTGATTCTGGGTTCTGAATTGTTTCTGGCGAGCGCCTCCTCTTACTCCTTAACACCTGCAAACAGCCAAGCCAGCCATGAATGTAGAAACAACAGAGAGATCGCGGGAAGGATGCAAACAGTGACGAAAACAACCGTGATGTAGTATTATGAAAATATATTTAGACTGCTGTTTGGAGCACGGAAAGGATTTGTTTCATTGGAGTGGGAGGAATGTTTGAATGATAATTCACAGATTAGAATTGTTGACGTGTAAAGTAATGTTATTTACGCAGCACACCGAGAAAAAGCTGTCACGTGAAACGGGAGTATATGCAAATTCCGTTGTGCGTATGCGTACGTCTTTATCACTTGTTGAAGAAACACGCTACTCACCGCAGAACAGCAGTCTAAATATATTTTCATAACACTACATCACGGTTGTGTTCGTCATTGTTTGAAACCAGCCGTGAAAGCAGTCGAGGGCGATGCAGCATTTTAGAAGGCGTGCCCTGGGAACGGCTCACCTGCCCACCGGTCAGCAGTTGTGGGCGTGTGAGAGCTCTTGGCTGTCCGGGCGCAGGTGAGTCCCCGTGAGGCCAGGGGTGCTGACCTCGAGGCGAGGGAGGGATGTGGGCACAAGTCTCTCTGGGGCCTGCTCAAACAGTCCCGTGCCTGGGCTGCGAGCGGGAGGGTGTGAGGCTGAGCTGGGGGGACGTTTGTCAGGGATGCTCCCGGCTGGTTTTGCCCTGAGCAGGGGGGTTGGACTAGATGGCCTTTATGGCCCCTTCCAACGCTACGATTCTGTGAAGTTACTCTTTAGATGGGGCCCCCTTCCTTGGATGTCAACCCAATATGGGCTCGCACGGGGGATACTTCTCTGGGGCGGTGGGCTTTTGGCAGCGGTGGATGAGGTCATGAGAAATATATAAAGTGTGGGTCTGCAAGGGGGTGTTTCGACCACAGGGAGCCTTGCCTGCCTCACGCAAGGGTAGAGGTGGTTTGCTTCCAGTTTGGTGTAGTGGTTAAGTGTGCAGACTCTAATGTGGGAGAACTGGGCTTGATTCCCCACTCCTCCACTTGCACCTGCTGGATGACCTTGGGCAAGCCGCAGTTCTGTCAGAGCTGTTCTTGAAAAAAAGAGCAGTTTCTGTCAGAACTCTCTCAGCCCTACCGACTTCACAGGGGGTCTGTTGGTGGGAGGGGAAGGGAGAGGGGTTTGTAAGACGCTCCGAGACTCCTTTGGGTAGTGAATCCAACCTCCTCCTCCTTCTATTTAGAAGGGAAGAAGAAGAAGAGATTTAGCGTTAGGCCAAGAATCTGTGACTTGCCTCAAGGTCACCCAGCGAGCAGGGAGTCAAAGTTTGGCACTCCGACCCACGCTGTCTAAACCAGAGGTTGTTGAACCCATTTCTTACGAGGGCCGGATCTGACAGAAATGCCACTTTGTCGGACCGGGTCAGGTGTGCCATAAACGTAATGCCAGGTACCAAAGATATAAACTGTATGTATGTAGGACATGAGGCCTGGCAGTGAGGATACACAACTTGGAGCTTAACCAGCTGTGGTCCTTTATACATGGAATCTTGGAGTGGCTCCACGCACTCCCCCACTCTTCCGAGCAGTCTCCCGTTCCCTCCCTTGCACTAGTTTCTCGCAGGCCGCATAAGAGCCCTGAATGGGCCAGTTCTGGCCCCGGGGCCTTCTGTTTGACACCTTTGGTCTAAACAGACTGATCGTTAACATGAGAGAAGCCAATGTTGGATCAGGCCAAATGGCCCATCCAATCCAACACTCTGTGTCACACAGTGGCCAAAAACACCAGGGGCCATCAGAAGGTCCAGCAGTGGGGCCGGGACACAAGAAGCCCTCCCACTGTTGCCCCCCCCCCCCCACCAACCACACAACAGAGAGCATCCCCCCCCCCCAAGAGTTCCTATCTATACCTTGTGGTGGTTAATAGCCACTGATGGACCTCTACTCTTAACATAAGAACATAAGTGAAGCCAATGTTGGATCAGGCCAATGGCCCATCCAGTCCAATACTCTGTGTCACACAGTGGCCAAAAACGCCAGGGGCTATCAGGAGGTCCAGCAGTGGGGCCAGGACACCAGAAGCCCCTCCCACTGTTGCCCCCCCCAAGCACCAAGAAGACATAAGAACATAAGAGACGCCAATGTTGGATCAGGCCAAAGGCCCCTCCAGTCCAACACTCTGTGTCACACAGTGGCCAGAAATACCAGGGGCCATCAGGAGGTCCAGCCGTGGGGCCAGGACACTAGAAGCCCTCCCACTGTTGCCCTCCCCCAAGAACCAAGAATAGAGTGCATTGCTTGCCCCAGACTGAGAGTTTCTCTCTATACCTTGAGGCTAATAGCTACTGATGGACCTCTGCTCCATATGCTTATCCAATTCCCTCTTGAAGCTGTCCACGCTTGTAGCCGCCACCACCTCCTGTGGCAGGGAATTCCATGTGTTAATCATGCAGGAGGAGCACGCCGTTGTGGCGAATGCTGAAACGTGGTTGCGTAGCTCTAGAGGACCAGTTGAGGTTTCCAGGTGAAGGGACCGCCGGGGTCCTTTCTTAGAACTGCTGCCGGTTCTCCATGCCCAGATCAGGGGTCCCAATGCATGGATGAGAGAGCGGGGCCAGGATGAAGGATTCGTATTTGTTAGGCACTGGGAGGCCTTTTGGAACAAGCAGGACCAGTGCAAAAGAGATGGGCTTCACTTGAACCCAGAGGGAACCAGACTGCTGGCGCTTTACTATGGAGAACACACGGGGCACGTGCCCACGGCAGAGCTGCTGTTTTTAGGATCCGTGTCTGAAGAGTGAGGAGGTGAGAGATGAAATTGTAGGGCTAAGAGGCAAGCTGAAAATGAGCAAGTCTGCAGATCTGGAAGGCCCACACCCACCCAAGGGTTCTTACAGGACTGATGTATGTGGAATTGTTGATCTGCTAACAAGGCCATGCGACCTCTCACTTAAATCTGCGTCCATGTCGAATGACTGGGGAGTTGCAAATGGCGTGCAGTTTCACCCCGGGCTGGGGGGTAGGAGTCTGTTCCAACCGAGGCTGGGGGTGTGTGGGTGTGCTCTGAACTGTCGCAGAGCGTAGCTGTGTCGGTCTGCAGAAGAACAGCCCAGATTTGAGTCCAAACACATTTTCGGTGTGTGTGTGTGCGTTGAGCTTTCGAAAGTCAGAGTTCCCTCGTAGTCCACCCAGACACGAATAGCATGCATCTGCAGAGTTTTGGATGCCTGGAAAACCGCAGCCAGCTAGTTTGGTGTAGTGGTTAAGTGCGCGGACACTGATCTGGGAGAACCGGGTTTGATTCCCCGCTCCTCCTCCAGTTGCCCCTGCTGGATGAACTTGGGCAAGCCGTAGCTCTGCCAGAGCTGTCCTTGAAAAAGAGCCGTTTCTGTCAAGAGCTCTCTCAGCCCCACCAACCTCACAGGGTGTCTGTTGTGGGGAGGGGAAGGGAGTTTGTAAGCCGCTCTGAGACTCCGAGTGAAGGGCGGGGTATAAATCCAATCTCTTCTCATCTTCTTCTTCTTCTCTTTCCAGGGAGTGACCCCACGTCCCAGCAAGAGTTCACTTCCTGTCTGAAGGAGACCCTCAGCGGCTTAGCCAAGAATGCCAACGACTTGCAGGTACAAGGCCCCTGGGAGACTGTGGGTGGGGTGGGGGGCTTCTCTGCCAGACAGGGTGGGGGGGTGTTTCAAGGTGTCAGTAGCACACCCTCCCCCCCGGCCCCGGAGCGTCTCCTGTCCCACCAGGTCTGCTGACTGCCAGGGGAGGACAGAGCTCTCGCTTCCTCTGCCCTTTTGCCCCCGTCCGCAGAGACACGGACAGGGCTCAGCCTGGGGAGGGTGGGGAGGGGAGCCCGTGGGGAGCCTCCTGCCTTCCCAGGCCCCTGAGCTGCAGCCTCCGGAAGCTTCTCGAGCGCTGCCTCCTACCGGGCTCCCTTGCGCGGGTTGGGCTCCGGGGTGCCGCCTCCCGCCTCCGCTCCCCTTTCCACCCCCCTGCAGAACTCGACAGTGGCGGAGGACGAGCTGGCCAAGACGATGGAAGGGCTGGGCCTGGAGGACGGGGGGGAGGGCGACGGCAGCCTCCTCCCCCTCATGCAGAGCATCATGCGGAACCTCCTCTCCAAGGACGTGCTCTACCCCTCCCTCCAGGAGATCACC